ACTTTTAAAGAATAACCCTTTGACAGTATTGTCTCCCAGCAATTGCTTAGCTGCCAGCTCAGGGAAATTCCTCCTTCTCTGGAGTATGCAAAGTGCCAGCTGAGGTCCAGTTCTTTAACCCGTATCTTTAACCCAAAACAAATACTGTGGACCAGCTAGATATAGAATTAATCTGACCCTTGTTAGACTCTGTGAGACAGCTTGGGTTCAGCTCAGGCAAGGGAAAATGCTGCTCCCCAAAAGGATTTCTTTGTGCTCTGGCAGATGCACTGCTGATTTACACCATCCAGAAAGGACTGGTCACCCAAGAGCAGCCTGTTACATGCCAAGCTAACGATGTCCAGCATTTGGGAAATGTAAAGTGCTCTGGAGCCTGTCCATGCTTCATACACCAGGGTAAAGTTAAGTGAGGTGACACATTGTCTATATTGCTGATCTTTACCTCCTCTAAATGAGGAACCCAGCTACTTATTTAGTAAAAATGCTGTTCAATAGAGTCAAATGCTGTTATTTTGTATTAGAGAGCAGAAATTGAACATTACTGTCAGTTACCTAGGTGCTCTTTGAGTCGCTTTTCATGTATCTAAGCAGGATTAAAATAAGCTTTTCTCTTTTATGGCTGTAAGCAAGACTCAATCGTGTACCCTTACTATCAGAATGAAAAACCAATTGATCATAACAGGAGATTTTCCCGCAAAGTATCTGCTTCTGTTATAATGGCATTTGGCTATGAAGTATTTGCTCAGTCTTGTATTGAGATGCATTTATATCTCTTAAATTTCTACTCCTTTAAAAATGCAAATGCAGTGTCTCTTCTGCCTGGTACAGGTTCAGCCACCACAGTGAGAAGCACTGGGTGCTTGGTGGCCTTCTTGCCCTCGGTCTTCAATGCCTCAAGTTTCAGTCAGCATTTCATTATGGTGTGAGACATGTTCCGTTAGGCTTTAGGGCCAGAGGTGCTGTTCCTTCATATGCAAGCAATGGGAAGTGATGTTCAAGGTGGCCTTGTAGCACGTCCAAGCAATCAGCTATGTGGTATACCTTTATGCTCAGCAGTGATCTAAATTCTCTTGTCATTGTCCCTTAGACTGTTCAACAGTAGTGGCCAGCTGTGACCATTCACCTAGCATTGTACCAGGGGCTTGTGCATTTGCTAGACATCAGGGGTCTTCAGAGTCATTATTACAGAGCTGATTTCACTAAAATTATCGGTTATTTCCAGTGTAACAATGATAATAGAAGCACAGGACCGGAAGAGACCTTCCCTTATCCATCCTTCTTCCCCATCTCCAGCTCTCTGCTCCTGACAGACAGTTTTTTAAATCACTTAAAACACCTGGTATGGGAGCTGCCTGTTGTTCCCAACAATCTTTCCTTTAGCTCCCTGCTTTTGGGATGTTTTCTCTACTTTTCATTGCAATAATCTAAGTTTCATGCTTGTCTTCAGCCTGGTGGATAAGGAGGACAAATTATTCCTTGAGTCTTCACAGCAGCTTTGTACAAAGCTGCAGACTGTTCTCAACTCATGGCTGTGAAAAAAAATCATATAAATATGCTGCTGGCAATTTTGTCAAATGGATGAATTTCACTCTGCTTATTGATGACTTCTCTGTCATACATTTTAAGCCGTATCTTCTCTTTCATTGTCTGTTGCATTCTCCTGAAAGTGAATGCACTATTCACATATGCCTCTGCAAATGCATTTTACAAAGCAATTTTCTTGTCACTGTCAGTGCCAGCAGACGACTCTGTGTAGTGTCAGTCAAAAAAAAAGAAAAAAAAAAAATTGCATTTTTTTTCTGTATTTTCTGTATAAAGTGTTCTTCCACATACAGTTTTCTATGATACTGCTTGAGTGGTCTGCATTATATCTTCTGGTATGAGAACCGTTTCCATCATTTTGCATGAATTCCATAAAGCGACACAGCTTTTTTCTTGCTGGGAGGCAGCTTTGCTCTGTTACAGTAGTCGCTCCAGCAGGACAAAGTTACTGGGAGCATGCTGAATATATAGCAAGGTGGACAATAAGTAGTCTGTAGATGAGTGAAGTTGAGACATTTTGTGTTACTGCATATGATTAATTTTAAAATAACTCTTGCAAAACTGTGTGAACACATTTTATTGTGTAATGGTAATTGTGAGTAAACTGATATTTTGTTAATCTTATTATAAATACAATTTTCCACTGGCTGCATCTGTTCCTAAATTGCTAATGATGCCTTTCTATTTAACAGAAATAATAGAACAATCATAATCAGCAAACAGTTCTTCATTTGTATGTACACTGCACCTTCTTATAAATTTGTGAAACTAGACAGGATTTTTTACTGCAGTAATTATTTCTGCAACCTTGCTCTAAATAGATAACACTGTGTATTTCCAAGATACGTAACGTTCCCTGCATGCCTCTGTCCATACATTTCCCCTTCCTCTGGCCCTATCTCCTATGGCAGGGTGTGCAGGAGACGCTAGAGGTGGTGCTTGGCCAGCTCCCGTGGGCCACCTGAGGCCCGGTCAGTGGCAGTGCTTCCAGGGCAAACCACACTGTCCTATCATAGAAGTGCGGAATCATTTAGGTTGGGAAAGACCTCCAAGATCATTAGGTCCAACTCTCCACTAAACACTACAATTCATGTCTTTAAATGCCTCATCCGTGCTGCTCTTCAGTACCTCTGTGGAAGGGGGCTCCCAACCTCCTGCACAGCTCATACCAAGGTCTGACCACCTGTCTGTGAGGACATTCTTCCCAACGTCCCACCTAAACCTCCCCTGGCACAGCCTGTATCATCTGATATGTGCATGAGGTGACTGCATGGCATATTCCTGTAATCTCAGTAAGATTTAAAACTTGGAGAATATAAATTTAAAAGGTATTTATGAAACTCAAAGCTCTGTACTGAATGGAACTTTTCAATTAAATGGTTGCAAGAACAACAATTTTCAGCACTTTCTCAAGGAGGTACCCTAGCATGTTTTAAATTTGCAGAAAGAGAGTAGCATTTTCTCTTCTGCCTAAAAGTCATTCTAACAAAAAACAAATCAAAGATTGCCAATGGCCACATCCCAAATCTGTAATGGGTAAAAATAGGCCCTAGTGGCTGTGCAAGAACCACACATTATACTGTGCAAGCTAGTGAATACCATATACCACAAGCAGTATAATACCATCTGTAGTTGTTTCTCAAGAATTTCAAGCCTCCAAAATGATGGCAGCTCAATTGCCTGCCCATTTGTTTAAAGAGAATAATATTTGCACATTATTCAGTGAATCACTGTTATTCAAACAACTGCGCCACAGCACGCTACATAAAGACGGCCGTTACGGGGCGTATGGAGAACGTGTGAGAAATGCAGATGAACATCAAGACAGCTGTCATTTTAGAAGCACCATGATATTTCCTTCATGTTATCCTTTAATTATATCCCAAAACTCTGAACACGTGCCTGTGACACGGCTGAGACAGCTTGCCTGGCTTCTGTCTGAGCACTGAAGGGGAGCACAGCGCTGTGTGTGGGCAGTCCTCTCTAAGCTTCCCCTCTGTGACCAGGGGACACCTGCCAGTAAAAATGGCTGGAAGGAATGCCCATATTCCTCTCTTCCCATCTGTTCTGGTGAGGAGAGATTGCTGAGGCACCTGGGAGGGCAGCAGCATTGTTGTCATCACCAGAGCTGGTGCTGGGGATATCTCCTGTGGAGTGAGTTCTGGTGGAAAGCCGAAGTTACTTCCATAGGGAGCTAGAGATGTGGAGAGTCGGGTGAGGGCTGCCCTCAGCCAGGACAGCCTTGAATCAGGCAGGGGCATGAGGAAAATCACCTGGGAGGAAGTAAGGGTTTCTTATAGGGGGAGAGATGGAAAATTCCTATTGCTTCAGTCCCCTGCACAGAGGTGGAGCACGAAGCCGGTGTCCCTACTAGCTAGTTTGCCCTGCAGAGCTAGAAAATTCAGTACTTTAAAGGAAAGAAAGAACGCAACAAGCTCTCTTGACAAATGGTCCTGTAGAAGCACAAAGGGTGGTTTGGAATTGGCTGTGCTCATTTGTTCCAGATTGCATTTAGAAGTGCCTTCCTTTGTGGGAGACCTTCCATGTGCCGTTTGGGACAAACCACAGATCACAGAGGAGCAGACTGCTGCAGGCGGGCACCACGGGGCTAGTAGCCATGCCACACTGCCAGGATCAGGTGCAGAAGCATGGGGAGATGCAGGTGTCTGAATTTTGTGGATGTGATTACGTGGTTATGAAGATCATTGTGCAGATAGGCTGGGAGACACTGTTACAGAAATGACTTATGCCCAAGTAACTGCTAGAACTCTCTGAAACAAAGCCAGGGCTTTGTCTCTGACAGGAATATTAAGGAGAAAAACATCGTGGCCTTCAGGCTGATAACCAGAATGACCACATACTGCTTCTGGGACAGATGGAGCTCTCCCCCAGTGCCTCCCACATGCCGGGATGGACCGACGAGCGCAGCACGGTGGTTACAGTTCTGAGGCCGGCTCCTTCAGTGGGAGAGCAGCCCCAGATGCGTACGGTGAACGGCGTGCTGCTGCCCGCTGCCCGCTGCCCTCGCCTCCAGGCCCCAGCGAGGCACCTGCGCAGCCGGTGTCACGAGGCACACAGAGCCTCCGAAGGTCGATGCCCGCCCGTTGATGCCGTGACGCCGGGTCCGGGCACGTGGCACCCCAAGCCCTAACGCTGTGGAACAGGAACAGTCCCGGCGACGACGCCCGGGACCGAGCTTCAGCCCGGACCGAGCCCCAGCGACCCGCCGAGCGCACCCGGGCGCGGCTCCTCAAAGCTGCGAGGGTCACGCCGCCGCCGCCCGCCGCCCAGGTAAGCGGCGCTCCGCGGGGGGCGGCCAATGGCGCGGCCCGGCCGCCTCCGCCAGCCAATGGGAGCGCGCTCGGCGGCGGCCCCATGGAAATGTGCCTGGTGGGGAGCCAATGGGGCGCGGCCGGGCCGCGGGCGGCGCTTTATCAGCTGCCAGGGCCGGCGGTGGCGGCAGCCGCGCGGAGCCGGGTCGCTCGGATCCTCCCGCGTCCCCGCGCAGCATGGCCGGGCTGGGCGGTGGCCCCGCCGCTTTCGGGCGCTGCACGCACGCCGTGGTGCGGGCGCTGCCCGAGTCGCTGTGCCGACAGGCGCTGCGCAGCACGCCGGGCCCCGAGGTGGACTTCGCTCGCGCGGAGCGGGAGCATCAGCTGTATGTGGGCGTGCTGCGGGGCAAGCTGGGGCTGCAGGTGCTGGAGCTGCCGGCTGATGAGAGCCTTCCCGACTGCGTGTTCGTGGAGGACGCGGCCGTAGTCTGCGAAGAGACGGCGCTGCTCACCCGCCCGGGCGCGCCCAGCCGCAGGAAGGAGGTACGGTACGGTCGCGGTGCGGGAGCCCGAGCCGTGCCGGGGCGCGGCGGACACCGCCCGTCCCTGCTGCCGTCCCTGCTGAGGCGGCACCGCGGGGCTCCTCCCGGCCCCGCCGCCCCCCGGAGGCTCCGGCCCGCGGGTGCCCGGAGCGCGGCCGTGGTCAGCGCCGCGCTGCCCCTCTTCGAGCCATGACTCATCTCGGCCCTTCGCGGCCGCGTGGGCTCCCGGTGGCGGAGCCGCGTCCTTCGCGTGGGTCACCGCGAAGCGCTGTGGGTGTGCGTCGGCGCCGCCGCTCCTTTCGGCCCCGAACCCGTCTTCGTGGCGCGCCGGGCTGCGGCCGTGCTGCGGGCGGTGCTACAGGTGCCGGAGGGCCTCACCCGGTCCCTGCCCGGGGAACCGCTCCTTTGCGCTGGACCTCCTGCCTGCAGCCCCTGCGTGGGCCCCCCGTGCTGAGCGGGTACAGCTACTCGGCCCGCCTCGGGCGTTCTCGGGACCTTCTATGCGTACTGCCCACCCGTAAGGTGGTCTGGCGGGCAGTGAAGTGCCACCCATTCACCCAGTTCCTCGAGGAGCAGAGTAGGAAGTCAAGCAGCTCGCCCATCTCCAGGCTGCAGGACTGCTGTGCTGACTGCTCGTCTCTCTGCTGGCAGGCTGTGGGGTGACCGTCTTTGTCTGCCCCCGTGCCTGTTCCTGGGGTGCCGCTGCTGTGGCCTTGTGATACACAGCCACTCACTGGCATGCCTGGGGCTGAGAGGCTTCCCTGGGCCACAGTGCAGTGTACAATGGTCTGTATGGCTCTGGGTCTTTGATGTGATGCTCTAGTAATAAAGTTCACCTGAATTTCGTCCAACAGTGAGTCAAAGATATTGCACAGCTCTTACACATATGCTTTTCCATGTGCATACAGGTGTACCTGCTGCTTCAAACACACCTGGATGCTCTTAGAGGGAGTAGCACTAGAGCCAAGTGTGCATGCAGCCACATGCTGCTTCCAGGAGCTGTCAAGGCCCAAGATGGCTTGTGCAGGTCTTCTGCTGTGAGTCAGTGATGTGTGCTGTGAGAGCCTTCAGCAGAAATGACTCCGTTATTGACTGTACTCTGTACTAATACAGAAGTGTCTCTGCAGAGTGATGTTGGCTCTGGCTGGATGTATTTGAGAGCCCAGAAGTGTTTGGGCAGTAAGGGGTGCTGGGTTATGTTATGCAGCGGGTGGAGGGAGGTAGGACACATGCAACCAGAGCACCAGCAGAATGCAAGAGGCAGCATTTCTTTGTCCATTTCGAGGTTTTGTGTTCTGCCAACACAGAGGGAACACAAAGAGACAAGACAGGGCAGCAGAACTGAATGGGCTGCTGGCTGTAACTTTGCTGTATCATTTGAAGTGGTGTAAGGAAATTAAATATATATTAATAAGGAATAAAATGGTGTAGGGTATGCCTTGATACAGGGAATAGAGTTGTTTTCCCTTCGATGTCATTGGCTGTTCCGGTTCAGTAGAGGTAGTGGACAAAGACAAGTCAAGGCTGCAGGAGTAATGGGGGAGAGCTTGTGGTGCCTGAAAGAGGAGGAAGGCTGCAGGGCCCTCGAGTGAAGCACAGTTGAATGTGAGTGCCTGGTAGCATTAGCTCTCTCCTAGGGTTAACAGCAGCATGCTAAAAGCCACACATCAGTTTTATCTGGCTTATTGTAATTATTGGTGTTGTAAGACAGTTTCATTTTTTTTCCTCCCTTAACAAAAAAAAAAAAAAATCATGATCTGATCTTTACTATGTAATTCTAAATATGTTAAATTCTTTTAAATCATAATTAGATGTTCCTCCAGCATATTCAAAAAAAGAAAATTAAAAGGATTGTGCTGGAGGGGTTGCATATGGTAACAATTTATCATTGAATTATGCAATTTATTGTCAATTTGAAAATTAGAGAAAATCTATTCTACTTCTGTTCTTGTTTGTTGGTTTTTTGTTTTGTTTTTGTTGGTTTTCTTGCTTGGCCCATGCCTGCTGGAACTGATATGTGGCTCCTTATTGATAGCGCTAACTACTTCCATGAAGTAGCAGTTCAGATGTGATATGAAATAAATCTACTATGTTCAAATTTTATACTAGAAACAGCAGAACAGATTTACTTCTTTCCATTGGTGACTTCTCCAGGCACAGTCATAAATCAAGATAAGAGAAAAAGCTCTGAAGCATAATTTGAACCCTATTAGTTTCCTTAAATGATGGGGCAATCACTCCCATGAGCTTTCTATGAGTTGGGGGGAAAAAAAAAATTGAACAAACATCCTCTTAAAACTAACAACGCAGTGTAATGCTTGTCTGAACATGTAACTTAATTATTTAAAACAGTTTGCTCTCCAGGGAGCACTGCTACAGCAGTGCTTTGTGGAGAGATGGGGAGAAGATGGAAGGCAGCAGCATGCCATACACATCTGGGGCTGCCCTCCTGCTGAAGGAAAGCCTGGCTGACACACATGTTGAGGACAGCTCTGCAGAGGAACACAGTGGGTCTAGTGGGCAGCAGGCTGAATGTGAGCCTGCAGCATGTGCCCCTATGGTAGAGAAGGCCTACAGCATCCCCAATGAGCCCCCCAAATGAGCAGAACCAGTAGGCTGAGGAAAGTGCTCTATTTAGCACTTGTTAGACAGCATTGATAGACCACGTTCAATCTTGGTTCCTCTTCTTAGTGTCAGGGAGAGATTGGCAACAGAACACACTCATTGGAAAGTTGCTCAGGGGCTGAAGCATAGCCTGAGGCAACAGGACCTGCTCCACTTGGAGAAGAGGTGGCTTAGGGGGCCTAAGAGCAACCCCCCAGTACCTACATGGGTTATCAAGAACAGAGGCAGGGTGTTTCATCATGTGTGGCAGGATGATGAGACAGTGGGTGTAAATTGAAGCATGATGGTTTAATGGGATAGTAAGAAGGCTTTTTTTTTTGCAGTGGGGACAGCCAAGCAGTGAAATGAAGGCCTGGAAAAGCTGCTCTGCCATCATCTGTGGAGGCTTTCAAGACTTGTCTGGATAAAGCCCAGATCAGCATGGTCTATTCTGATAGCTGGTCCTGCTTTGAGAGGAGGTTGGCTCCTGGTCCAATTGATCCACTGCTAGAGAATCATAAGGACACAAACTCATAAAACTGATTTCTGCATGCTGCTTCTGAAGGACTTCACCAGTCCTCCAGCTGGTTAGCCAGCCTGGTGTGAGTGTGCATGGGGCTGCTTTAGTGCCTTGTCACTCACAGTCTCACTGGCTGTCAGAGGGAAGGAGGGTGGCTGCAATCCACATACAGTACCAGTTTCTCAAAGAGCGGTTTCTTATTCTTTTTATGTAACACAAGCATAACCCATGAATACTTCAAGAGAGTGGTTGACACACGCTTGGCTTAACCCAGTTAATATGAAGCCTGTCCACTGAGTACGTGTTCCTGCCCTGAACCTCCCGCTGTGCGGGAGAGCTGTTCCAGCTGGTGCTGCAACCAGGCAGGGCTCACTTGTCCCTTCTTTTACCTCCATGGGCTGTAGGTTACTTGCAGCTCCTGTGGTATGTTAATAGAAGGGCTTGTGTCCAGGCAGCTTGCCAACAGGCTTGTGGTAGGTCAGGCTCTGCAGCCTGATCGGAGCCATGGAAGATGAAGGATATGGGGATGCTCAAGGTGCATCCCAAAGACAGCAGCCTGGCTGAATATGCAGCTGGAGCAGTTCTGCTTCAGGCACATAGTGCCTCCTGATAAGCTGCCTGCCAGATGTGTGAACTGAGCTGCTCTGTCTCCATCCTCCCCATTTCATGTTGCCAAAAACCATAATGCAATATTTAAGAACCATTGCAGTGTGTTCTTTCACTGACTAGACTCCTTATTAAGAAGGCTTGTCATCAAATTACTGTAATGCTGTATGCAGCAGGAAAATTTCTGCAGCAATCTTTAATAGTACTGACTGAGCTTCCATGCTTTACAGATATAGTATAGGTTACCCCTCCAGCACCGTTGGATTCTTTACTGGTTGTCTGCTTGGGAAAAAAAAAAAAAAGAACAGCTGCTAGGCTGTTTGTTCTTGCTCCAAGTTATTGTAGAGTAAAAAAAAAAAGTTGAGCTCAACTTGGTCATGTTCAGTGAGTACTGGGAAACAGCCCAGTGTGTGTATATATATATATATATATATATATATATATGTTTTTTTTTTTTTTAGTAAAGTAGAAAAATCGGTCATGCATTTAATGATTTGTTTGCAAGAAGCAGAGGCTTATTTCACAGCATTATGTTTCTGTGCTATCAACTTCTGAACTTATTTTAAAATTCATAGTTTCTGGGGACTTTGGGATTTAGTAAGAAGGCAAAAGCTCTTGAAGTAAGCCAGAGATGGATGGCTAATGTGGATAAGCCGGTGTTTTGTTTAGCTGTGTGCAGTCACCAACACGCTTGATGTTCAAGTTGAGTAACTCTAATGAAAACATTGTGATCAAGTTCCAGTACCTTTTGTCCAGGAAGTGTGTTCTCAATTGTTTGTTCTGCTGGTATAAGTTCTTTGTGTCACCTTCTGAATGCACCAGAATTAGATGTGTAGGTGAGCCCTGATCAGCACATTGCGCTTACTGTCTAAGTTGTCTTAATGTGCTTGGGATAGCGCAAACAGAACTTGCACCATTTCAGCACTTATGCAGGCAGATGGAAATCCAAAAGCTCAGCAGAATAGACCCCCAGTAACATGGCTTCTTTTCAGCTGCTGCATAGGCAAGGAAAAGTAGTTGCTGCAGAAGTGATCGTGGTGAGCAATTCCTCCATTGGTGGTCAAGAAAGGAAATGCCCACCCAAGAGCCTCTTTTCTTCCCCAGAAAACCTCCTGGGGACAACCTGTGAAGCAGCATTGCTGCAGCATAGGAGGAGGGAGGACAGAGTATGAGTAGCAACAGAATATCTTTATTAAGTGCTATCATCTCAGCAAGCATTGGAAGAGCCTCCTGGTGACCCCTGAGCATCTCTCGGTTCTTCTTCCTACATC